ACTCTGGGCTCTGCCCTGAGTGAACGGCGTGCCCCTTCGGGCCGCTGTTATCACCAGCCGCCACCTCCTCGGTGACGCTGGGTGCCGCAACCTGCGGGCTTGGGGGAGTCGACGAGATGACGGCTCCGCTACGAAGGAATATGGGGGACATGGCGTCTGATCGTGTCGGAAGGATGGCCTATCCACCGTACGTTCAAACGTCGTGTATGTGACTGAGAAGCTGTTACTTCAAAATATGTGGCGCTTCGGAAAGCGGCCACACGAGAGATGAGAAGAGAGAGAGATCACGCGGGAGAAATGAAGATCGAAGCTACTCGATTTAGGGGGGTTCAAAGCTGCCCGTAAGTACATATTCTACTACGGTTTATATACGCAAGTCGGAGGGGTAGAATGGGGATGGGTTAAATAGATATGGTTGTAATGTGAGAGAATGAATACAAACGGGGCAAGCAACATAAGAGTACCGCGTGCTCAGCACGGCGGTGGCGTAGTGGCTCGGCTATTGCGTAGCCCGAGTCGCTACACCTTTGCTAAAATGTTGTTAAACTTCATCCGATCGTTGGCACTGCGCAAAATTTACCTGTCATCTTGACATCTTTGTCCTATTCAACGGTTATCTTGCCTTGATCTATTGTCTTCTATCTTGCTTCTATCCTCTTATGCTAAATCAATATCCTACTTGCTATCTATGGTCGGCACATTCACTCTTGATTTATGTGCTGCTCTCATATAATTACTTGTTGCTTTTGTCCTCCGTCCATTGTGCTGTGTTTATGAATTTGGGTCCTAAGTTACGAGGCCTGGCTTGACGGATTTGCAATGACAGTTTATCACAGGGCCCAGCGCAGCCACATTTGAGAGAATCAGAATCGGAGGAGACTGAAAAGAACACGCAGTGTCTTCAGTCGGTGCACGAGGAGATGTACGACTAATTGTATTACCTGAAAAGAACATGCAGTGTCTACGGTAATGCAATAAGTATGAGTGAATAAATATAAGTAAGTGGATACTCTTACCTTCAGTCGGTGCACGAGGAGATGTACGACTGAAGGAAGGAGAGATCGTGAAAATAAACTTGTATCTGTGTATCGCATCATGTGCGCCTCGTTCCGAAACTCGTCTCTCGTCTGGCCTCAAAAGGCTCTCGCAACCTCATATTCCAACAACATTACCATCCAAATGATGGGACGAGTTCCCTGCCATTTATTGGCCTTCGCCCAGCAAGTTGTTATGTGGCGCCTCCGCGTCAACGCGGAGGCATTACCCCAGATTCCCCTTATGGGATTCCGGGGGCGCGACTACTCTTTCCTTAGACTTACCATCTCTTCTGCTTGTACTAGCTAGTCCCGCTCGAACCATACCCTTGTCTTATTTCTTTCTTTGTCTGATTCCTAGTGTTTCCTATCCAGCAGGATAGGCTTCCAGCCACAGTAACTAACCAAAGTATCCGATGACTAGGCATTGGACGTCGCACAGGGGCTTGAATATTTGCACCAAGAAAGCATCATCCACAGCGATCTTAAAAGTGTCAGTCCTGTCCATTCCAGTCACTCCTCACTTTAGTCCACTTATGTCGGTCTCTACATGAACATACTGATATCGGCCAACGAGCGCGCGTACCTGACTGATTTCGGCCTTGCGAAATCGGTGAATACGGATACGAATCGGCAAAATACGGGACCAAATGGAACGCTGCTCTGGAAGGCCCCGGAGCTGTTTAAAGCAGATGGGTCCACAATATACGCGACAAAAGCGAGCGACATTTACGCCTTTGGCATAGTTTGCTATGAGGTGTGTCGTGGCCCATTATCTCGCTTCCTGCTTCTCAATTTCATTTCGCTCACTTACATGACCGACAGATGTTTTCAGGACTGCTACCTTTTGCAGACCAAAGTATTATTGGCCTTCCACCGTCACAGGCAGGGCAGAGGCCACTTTTTCCGGGAGATGACACGCCGGCTGATGCTCGTGGATTGAATGTGTATGTCTGGAAGCACATGGAACAGTGCTGGGCGGAAGATCCCAATATGCGTCCAAGTGCGAAGCAGGTAGTTGAGTTTTACGCTGACGAAATGGATCCACCGGAAGATGCCCGAGAAATTGATACCATTGGCCTACCCGGTCTGAGTCCATCCCCGAAGAATCAAGCTTGGAGTTTTATGGTCTGGTAGCCAACAAGCGTTGTTGTATGTCTGCTTAATACCAGCCTGTGCTTAGAGAGCAAATGGTCATCATTATCAAGATATTGAAACTCTTCGCTTGTTGAGAGATGGGTCGGCAAGGGATCCGAATCCTCAAAAGCAGGGAATTTTCCGAAGTGTCGCACTACATCATCATGGCACGAACGCGATTCATAGAATACCTCAATTAGATCGATTCAGCACGCGCTTCATTTGGCTTTACAGTTTAGCCTGACAATGCGTGGTAAGAGAAATCAGAAGGTAGTGGTGGACTTGTTGATTTGAATGCTTTCAATCTAGAATTCACTGTGCTACGTTTAGTGTCTCTCATTGGTGTCATGGTCAGAGATCTCCAAATACAACTATACCGATAACAAGCATGCATTTGCTATCGTACTCTGGCAAAGGTCTTTCATCGATGGACTATTTTCCCCGCTGTCGCAACTCGCGTGAGCGTCGACATGAGCACGACCTCATCTCACAAAATGTTTACACCTCTATCCTCGCGCTAACACGCCCGCCCACGAAGTCCATACCCAACGCCCCAGCCCTTGCACACTCCAGCTGACCCACAGCAACACCCCTGCGTCCCTGCGCGGCACGCAGCTCCAGCCCCGCAAGCTCCAGCTCGTGCAACGCGCGCCTGCTCGCTTTCGCCAGTGGCGCATGGGCAGCAGTGATCTGCATGCGAGCGGTCCGCAGGCGGGCCAGCTGTAAAGAGAGGGCATCAGTGGAAGTGGCACTGGGAGATGAACATCGGCCGCACCTCGAGTTCGACTTCGGACGAGACGACTGGTTTGGGCACATATAGTGGGATCTCGATTATCGGCCCCTGCGGCTGCGCCGGCGCTAGGGGTGTCACAGGAGTGGACACTGCGGGTTCCTGGTTGGGCACAGGGCTGGGCTCGTGCTTCGCCGCGACACTAACCGCAACGGGTGGAGGTTTCTGTTGTACAGGTGGCGGCACGGACTCCTGCTTCACCGCCGGTGTCTGCGTGGGGACAGGTGTGCGCGTCGGCGTCGGCACGTTGACGGGGGCGGGTGCATGGGCGGGTACAGGGGAAGGGACAGGCATGGGCGCGGGTTGAGAGAAGGGGACGGGTACGAATCCACGCGGCCCCTTCGGTGGCTCGCGGTTGAAACGCGGTCCTGTCGGAAGCGCTGGTGTAGGGGCTAGCACCGGTACGACTGCTGGGGTGGCTGCGGGCGCGAGGACAGGCTGCGCAGGCACAGGCGCAGAAGATGGGGACGGGGAGAGTGGACGAGCGAGCATGGACACGTCGCCGTCTGCGTCTCGTTGCTCAGCCGCGGGTTCAGGCTTAGATTCAAACCGAATTTCCGATTTGGCTGCGGGTGTAGCTTGAGTTTCGCTCTCGGGTACAGTGTTTTCGGTTTCCAGCTTCATCCCCGAGCTCAAATCGGCTCGAGGAGCTGTTGGGATAGAAGGCAAGGTAGGGGCTGCCATCGCCGCTCCCATCCCCACCGCCGGCCCTGGCAATCGCACATCTCCAGCCCGCACCTTCGATAACCTCGCCTTCAGATCCATGCCAATCCCGAGCGTCGAGCGCACAGGCAGGCGATGCTTCCTGGAGCCTCTGTCCCGCTCCTTATCCACGCTTCGGCTGCGGGACCGCGAGCGGGACGCGGACCTGGAACGGGTGCGCGCGCGCGTGCGGGGACTGCGAGAGCGCGTCCTGCTTCGGCGTGGGGGAGAGCGGGAACGGGAGCGCCGGGGGGTGCGTGTGCGGCTGGGTGCAGGAGATCTGGATCGCCGGGGCGCCGGGGAGCGGGAGCGAATGCGTACTGGGGAGCGGGAGCGCATGCGTACTGGGGAGCGAGAGCGCATGCGTACTGGGGAGCGGGAGCGCATGCGTGCTGGGGAGCGGGAGCGGGCGCGCACAGGAGAGCGGGAACGGTTGCGAGCCGGAGAGCGGATGGGGGAGCGCGAACGGGCGTAGCGTGGTGGAGACGCGGCGATGGAGTGCGAGCCGAGGCGGAGTCGGCGTGGAGGCGAAGGGGAGCGTCGGCGGGGTGGTGTGCGTGTTCTTCTGCGTGGCGAAGGTGTACGTCTGTGATCTGTCGTGATGCATTGTCAATATACTTCCTTTGATAGCTGATGGTGTGACTTACATCTCGCTGGCGGTGGTGACCTCGACCTCTCTCGGTACCTCGCACCTGAAGCCCTCCTGTCAGGCAGCCTATCCCGATACCCAGACGCTGCCACCGAGCCACTACGCTCCCACTGACGTTGAGCGTAGTACTCGCGACCATACTGGCGCTCCCACTCCGCGTACTGGTCTCGATAGCGCGCGTCGCGTTGGTCGAGGCCTGGGTCAAAGGATGCGCGAGGACGGGAATAAGAAGCAGGTGGAGCCATGGGTGCCACCGTGGCACGGCTGTTCACATGAAAGCGTGCGGGGCCGGGAGAGGGGGCGGGAGAGGGACGCGAGGGTGAGCCTGAGGGGGAGATCTCACCAGGCTCTGGTTTGGGTGGGAGGCCAGCCATCTTGATAGCTGTCGAGTTGGACTATGTCCAGTGTAGCGTTTCACGGGAGCTGCTATTGGATGATTTTGCTTGTGTCACTGGCGGGTAGGTGTAACTAGCGCGCGCCCTGGCAAGAAGACCTGAGGCACTCAGTCAAGGTTTCGAGACAGTTCGTTGTAAAAATGACAAGAATCGACCGCTGATATCGAGTGAGTTTCAAATGAACAGCGTGAATGAAGACTTTGGCAGTATGAAGTGAGGTGAAGTGTATGAGGCAAGCGAAATATGGACGCGATCGAGATTGCAAAGACCAAGATGTTGGGGAACAAAAAGAGCTCCCCGGCCGGGAGTCGAACCCGGCTCTCGCGCGCACAGCAAGAGGTGACAGGCGCGTGTACTGAACCGATATACTACCAGGGATTATGAATTGGAGTCTTCCCTGTAGATTACAATCTGGGTGTTGGATTTGAGGCAGGCCGAAGCTTAAGCAGTGGTGATTCGAGAGAAAACCTTATGGTTTTTCATGCGTGAAAAGCTCTCGACGTCTCTAAAGTATTATACACGTCTAAAGCAGCAAGAAAATCTGCAAAGGAACGCGAAGCAATAAATATTGAGATCCGTAGATCTACCACTCCGGGAAAGCGTGTCATCCTTGTGCAGGGGCCATGCTAATCTTCTCTGTATCGTTCCAATTTTTTCGTATGTCACCCCGAAGGGGACATCAACAGGAGGAGATGTCACGAACGGTGGCGCGCGGATTTGGATTTGGCTCGGCAGACGGGTGACACACACAGACTCCGGCCCATCCCATTCGTCTTCTTGACTCTCACCCTCACCCATTGTCTGACGATCATCATCAGTTTCCCATCATACAACACATATATACCCTAGCAAGGTGAGTGTACTTTGTGGCAAATATGGGCTTGTCTTACTGAGTGCGTGCGGGAAGTCCAAGGCTATACCGTTCCATTCTCGATGGAGTCCAGTTCAACAATCATAGGTCAATGCCCCTACCTAGCCAGCGCAGAGCGCATGTCTCTGCCTGAGATTATTATGCCCAAACTTACCTCTCGTTGGAATGCAGCATCATCACATTCAGAACGACATCAAATTCGCTTGACTTTGTCGCAGGTCCGTAGCGATCTCGTAGCACTGGAAGATACTCTAGCACGCATCACATCCATCCAGACACGGCTGCTCCAGAAGCGAGACGCCTTGCAAGTATACTCAGATGAACTCAAAGCACTTACTTCACCAATTCGCACGATACCACCGGAGATTCTAATCGAGATATCTTACTATCTCAAAGGCGACTACCGTGATGAAGCTCCAGCTCGTGCACGGGCAGGGTCACTTCTGCCAACTCATGTTTGCCAGCAATGGCGCCAAATCGCGCTATCTACCCCCTCTCTTTGGAATAATATCTACATCAATGGAAGCTCTGTGTCGAGGAGCATTCCCAGCTCAGAAGTGAAGTGCATAAAGACCTGGCTTGCTCGCTCAAAAAACAGCCCACTGTCCATCAACCTTCGATGGAATGATGGGTGGGGGGGCAAACTTGATTTCGAGGAAGACGATGTCTGGTGCGCGGTTTCTGGTGTCCTGCTTCAGTGTCGTCGCAGGTGGCGACACGCTATCCTCTTATGGACACCCACAATCGACTTTTCTGCCCTCCGAAATAATCTACCATTGCTAGAAACCCTGATAATTCATTGCCCGTACGACGATTGCAACATCGACGGGAACGCCTTGAAATTGCACCATGGCTTAACAGTGTGACCCTCTCTCCAGGACTCACTATTGGCACATTGCCTTGGGGTCAGCTCAAAGTCTTCATCCACGGATTCGTTATGAGCATTCTACAGAGCCTCACATTGCTGCAACAGATGCCCAACATTGTCTCATACCACGCGGAGATTGTCTATGACGAATCAGAAGATATAGGATTTCTCAATACTCCGTTACACTTGTCCAAACTCGAAAGTCTGACTGTGAAAGTGACCAGTTCGGTATGGACCGCTATCTCGCGTGTCTGACACTTCCCTCCCTGACATCAATCAAACTCTTTCAAGATTATTCTAATCAAACCCCCGATGACTGTATCTCAGCGGTCATATCCTTGATACAACGATCCTCTTGCTCCTTGAAGTCCTTCGAAATCGATGCCTCCGGCTGGAGCAACCAACTGTGTGCGTTGCTTCAAGTTACGCCACAACTGGAGACCCTCGACATCGATGGGCGGGCCCTCGAGTATGATTTTGACAAGACCGTGCAGCTTCTGGAGGCACCGTTTGGTGCGAGCAGTACGTCCTGCTTGGCGCCAAAGCTTCAACATCTCAACCTCCGGTACCGGCCACCCTTTGAGCCGCAGGCTTTTGTGAACATGGTCAATTCACGATGGCGAGTGACATCCGGAGGATGCGTTACACCACTCAAGTCCGTCAGGTTAAGCGGCATTCCTTCTGCCACCACATTCAATTCCTCGGAGCTAGAGCGTCTCAGAGCGTTCGCCGCCGAGGGCTTAGATATAGAGTTCATTACCTTTGCAGGAGACCCGATTTTGTTTGAGAAGATTGACTCGGTCTCAACGTGAGTAGTCTCTTTCGGCTAGTCTAGTTGCTCACGGGATGGATGAGATTACCTGAACAGATAAAGTCAAAATAAAACAACTCTGATCATTGACGGCGCAATTTTTGGAACTTCAAATTACCAATTAACACAATTATATTCCGCTATAGAATACTCCTTCTATACAAGACAAACTATACACGCAAAGAGAGGCTTTCCAACGGCTGTGAGCGGCCAAACAGGCCTAGAAGACCTTATACAAATTACCCAGGATTTGGAGCCGCCTGACATCCAACCCGTTGGCGTAGTGGAGTGGAGGTCCAGTGCAGTTCTGCAGATTTTGGTAGCGTCAGTGGATGGGTGTTATGTGCCCACCTTGACCATGCTGTGCCGACCGGACTTCCAACCGCAGGACTTTATGAGCATGATTGATTCTCGTTGCAATCAGGGACCTGCTACCCGCACTGAAGTCCGTTAAATTGCGTCGAACCGTGACCAGCACATGAGCCAACATCTTTGATGCTGTGGCTGAACCCGCATAGGGGAACTCGTAGCTGAAGACTTAAAAGTAATGCTTGGCATATAGCGACAACAATTTAGGATACAAGTAGTCTCCCTTGTTTACTCATACATATTGACATGAACGGTGCTGAGCAGATAACACTCATGGCACAATCACCGTTTAGCATCTACCATCGCGATCCGAGTCAGCATGGCCATTGGACTCCAGAAGGAATTGAAATACTCACTTGCACTCTCCAGGCTTGCACTGGCAGTTAGCGCCGCAGTTGCAGGTCGAGCTGCCGCAAGACTCGTTGACGAGGACGTTGGTGGACTGTAGAATAATCAGTAGACTGCCAGTGAGTTGGGCGGATCGGGGGCGTACAGTGGACATTTCGATGGATTGTGAGGTATGATGGTTCTTGAGTAAAGATGGGGAGCTTAGGAGCGTTCGACGGCTCTCTTTATATTCCAATGCTCTCGTTTACCCCTGTTTACGGCCCGGAAAAATCAAGCTCCGTCATTGGCTCCTCCAGAAATTAACGCATGTGGCGGCATGATGCAGTTCGTACTTCGCTAAATTGCCTCAATGTTCTTAACTCCACGGCCAAGATGTTCAATTCAATATTTGATTTCCTTCCCCCCTCCCCCCTCAAGTCACCAGCTGCCCTCTCTGCTTAGAACATGGCGGACATGTATCAGTTCACACCAAAATCTCCTGGTAATACCCGCCTCATTGAGCCAGTCGATGCAAATCATGGTTTCCACGCCACTCGGCACATTCGAGTTTGCCGTACGACATTGAAATATGCTGCATGTCATACGAGACGGTTCCTGTTCCTGTGCCTTTACCTTTAGACCTTTCGGAGATCGCTTGTAAAACGCGGATTCATCACAGTGATTCAGAGACAGCACGTCAGCTCAGTATTGATCGGTGGGTGGTGAAATGTTCAAGCACGCAGGCAGCTCATTGTTGCGACGAGTTTCCGTGATCCAGCGGTGGTTAGGTGGTGACGTGCACCAAGCAAGGATCAGCGATTTTGATGATCGCGGCATCAGTAATGTTCTTGCTCTTGGCCGTGTCAAGTTACACCTATACGCAGATCTACTGCTGCCCCGCCTAGACTATGACCTTACTTTGGTGTCTTTACACCACTTTTCAAATGGAGAAAGCATTGAAACAAGGGGTGCTCAATGATTGCTTACAATTGGTGCCCCTCAATTTCTAGACATAAAGCCATAGCGCTCACCAACCTCTCCACACTCCTCCTTCAATCGAAATCAATGGCGTTCTTGACTCCTGGGCTCGCTTTCATTGCCCGCGGGCTCATCTCGCTCATCTTGCCTTGCATCTTGATCGCAGGCATACGTTTGTTCTTGGCAGTTCAATTCCACTTGGTCGTACCGATTTGGGCAACGAGCGCCCTCAGCATCCTCGCCCTTCCATTCATTCTCATTGCCCGCTATCAAATCCATCAGTATCGCCATCGACGCCGCGCAGCCGCCCTCGGGGCGCGCATGGCCCCCACTCTTGTTGGCAACTGGCCGGGCAACCTCGATATCTTACTCGACGCAATGCAGAAGCTCGTCGCTTCTTACCCTGGTGAGCAATGCCATGTTCTTTCTCACTTGTCTATATAATATAGCCAATTAGGCGATGGTCACTGGCAGTGGATTGAGAAGCATGGTTATAGCTTCAACCTGAACTTCCTCTGGGAAGATGAGATGATCACATATGAGCCCGAAATCATCAAGGTCAGTTTCCCCATGGCAAACGCATCCAACTTCTAACCACTCATGCAGAAAATTCTGGCTACCGACTTCCCAATCTACGTCAAAGGGGAGAAGTTCCATCATTCGATGGCCTCTGTCCTTGGCACAGGCCTATTCAACTCGGATAATGACATGTGGAAGTTTCATCGCCACATGACGCGCCCCTTCTTCTCCCGCGACCGCATCTCTGACTTTGACAACTTCGAGCGTCATGCCTCGCTCGCCATTGAGGCCATGAAGCAACGCCTGCGCTCCGGTCACCCTGTCGACTTCCAGGACCTCATCGCTCGGTTCACGCTTGACTCGGCGTCCGAATTCCTCCTTGGTAAGAACGTCAGGGCACTAGAAGACGCGCTACCCTACCCACACAACGCCCCTGGCATTCACGTCAAGAAGTCTTCGCCTGCCGAAGATTTTTCGGTTGCCTTCGCCCATGCGCAGTTTGTCCTCGCTAAGCGTGCGAACATCGGGTGGATGTGGCCTATTACCGAGATCTTGGGCGACCAGACCAAGGCCCCTATGAAGGTCGTCGACGAGTTCATCTGGCCGATTGTCGACGAGGCTATCGAGAAGAACCA